TTCTTCTTTCTTTTTTTAAACTTTCCTGCCTTCTGAACTTTTGTCCTTGGGCAAATGCTGCACTTTTGATCTTGAATGGTTGATTGTTCTGAGGTACATACTTCCCTAGTGTTACTGTTCACCTTCTAGACCTGTCTCTTATTAGGCTGAAAATAAAGCCAAAGGGTTTGGTTCAGTTCCAAGCTTAAAGGGTGACTAAGGGCCATAGTCTCTGGGGTTCCACAAGTCTCTATTTTACAGTAAGTCTGATCTTTTCTATGATTTTGAATAGGATTTTTCTTTCACTGTATCCAGGAATTTCTAATGTGATCCATTTCAGAGCAGTTAGTAGTGGTAGCCAGGTACCATCTAGTTCTGGTCTCAGAGTCATGGAGTCTAAGGTTTGTGTTGTCCATTAGCCTTTTGGACTAATTATTTCCATGTATCTTTAATTTTCTTTATTCTTCTTTGTTCTGGACAGGAAGAGATCTGTAGTTGTATCTTAGATGGCCACTCACAAACTTTTAAGGCCCCAGTCACTACTCACCAAAGTAAGATGTAGAACATCATCTTTGTGGACTGTGTTGTGCCATTTGGCTTTGATGTCTCCTGAGACTATGGTCTTGAGCCCCCAGGCCCAGCATCTTTTTAACTCTTTTGAATGTACACACAGAAAGCCTCTTCCTAATATCCTGAAGCATTAGGAAATCTTATCTATTGTCAAACAAGAGATAGTAGTTTGAATGGGAAGGTCCTCTGTCATTTGACAGTGCCAAAATCAAGAGCACCTTTGGTGGAAATAATAAAAGCTAGGCTGAAGTATGAGATTCATCAGTAGGAACATTTTTCCCCTTGAGCCAGCATGTGTATGTATATTTAGCTTTTGTTTCCCACATCTAATTATATAATGACCAGAAGATAAAAGTTACAAGAGGAACAGATTGTTGATATGTCAGCTTTTCACAGTGAAAAGAAGAAAAGTTTTGGTTGGAATTATGGGGAAAGATTGTTGAAAAAAACTACTGAAAGATTATTTGGAAAAAAAAGTAAGGATCTTTGTTATCTTTATATTTCATGGTTATTAACCTTAGAAGCAGCTGATCTCACCTCATATTTACTAATTCAAAACCTTGGTGTGTGTATTAGAGTTACAAAATTTAAATTTTATAGTTAGAATTTGATACCATACTTCAGGATTCACAGGTGGCTTAAATTCGTTGTAATGTAGTCTGCCTTACATAAATGATAGCCAGTCATTTATGATATTTATTGAGTGGCTGCTATATGTTAGACCTTTTCCTTAAATGATGCTAAAACCTAACACATTCTGGTTACACTGCCCATGGCTGTACTTTTTTTATTCTTTTTTTGTGATTTAGGTGAAAGTTTACAGAGCAAATTCACTTTCCATACAGCGGTTCACAAACACGTTCTCTTATGACATTGACTACAATTTACCACAATGCAACAGCTCCCCTCCCACTTCCTTCTGATAGTTACCTCTTTCCTGTGTCCATCCCTCCATGCACTCCTGCCCCTTGAACTGTCTCCCTGTGCATAAACAGCCCTTCTTTCTCCCATGATTGTTCTCTGCAAGGAGTGTATCTACCTTAGGTACATGTTCAGCTCATATGCCTGTCTTTTGTTTGGCTGGAAGCCACAGGTGTGGGTTCAATTCCAGACCTGAAGGGCAGCAAGGGACCATAGTCTCAGTGGTTCCACCAGGCTCTATCAGACCAGCAAACCTGGTCCCCTTTTTTTTTTTTTCAAATGATTTTGAGTTTTGTTCCACATTGTTCTCCCTCTCTATCCAGGATCTCCTACATAGATCTCCCTCTGAGTAGTTGACAGTGATAGCCAGGCATCATCTAGTTCTTCTGGTCTCGTAGTCATATAGGCTGAGGATTACATGGTGTACCAGTCACGAGGACTAATTGTTTCCATGAATCTTTGGTTTTCTTCATACTTTTTTGCTCTGGACGAGGAGAGACCCCTCGTTGCATCTAGATGGCTGCTTGCAAGCTTTTAAGATCCCAGTCGCTACCCTCCAAAGTAGGAGGTGGAACAATGTTTTGTGTAGTATATTATGCCAATTGAACTTGATGTCTCCTGCGACTATGGTCCCGACCGAGCCCACAGGTTCAACTACTCGGTCCCTCTGGGTAGCTGGCTATGACCAGGAAGTGACTACAATCTTGGCCCTTGTCAGCTCCACTATACCCCTGGGAATTCTTACAGAACATACAAATACACTTGTAGAAGCATTGTCTGCCAACCCTGTGCATGGTCTTGGGTACACTCCCTGCTGCATAGATATACCTAATAGTTCAGCCTGCCCATCCATCTATCCACCCGTATACCCTTGTTTGGCATGGCTTTACTTTTTAAAGCATAGTTTCTATGACATCTACTAATTGTCATCTGAAGTAAACATATTCAAATATATGGACAATATAGGAAATTCATTCATGTCCAGCCATGAAGATCCAAGAAAGCAACATCTCTTTGTCTTTTTTCATACTTCTCTTTTAAGAAGTTAAAATAACTTAGATCTCTCCCAAACCCTTAGGATCACTATGAATTGCGTGCAGTAAGCACAGGGTGAATCCTGAGACCCTTGACATTTTTGGAGAGTCATGTTGAAACCCTGTTTTTAATGAGCCAAATACATAAAGTGACAGCACACCAGGATTTCTCAATCTTGGCATTATTGACATTCTGTAACTTTTTCAGTTTCTGTCACTTGTATTCTAAATGGCCTGTCAGTGAACTAAAATACAGAGAATGTGTCCATGTGAGATCTTTTTATTTTTTTAATTTTTATTGTGATTTGGGTGGGAATTTACAGAGCAAATTCATTTTCTATACAGCAGTTCATACACATTTTGTTTCATGACATTGACTGCAGTCCCCATAATGTAACAGCTCTTTTCCCACTTCTTCTCTGTAAGTACCTCTTCCCTGTGTCCTTCTTTCCTATGCATTCCTGCCCCCTGAGCTTTCTCCCTGTGCAAATACTGCCCTTCTGTCCTCCCATGATTTATCGTTCTAAGGAGTGCATCTACCTGATGTAAATGTCTACTTTATATGCCTGTCTGTTATTTGGCTGGAAGCCATAGGAGTTAGTTTAATTCCAGGCCTGAAGGGTAACTAGGAGCCATAGTTCCCAGGGTCTCACTGGGCTTTATCAGACCAGTAAACTTGGTCTTTCTTACGATTTTGAGTTTTGCTGCACATTGTTCTCCCATTCTATCCAGGATCTCCTGCACTGATCCCTTTCTGAGTTGTTGACAGCGGTAGCCAGGCACCGTCTAGTTCTGGTTCCATGGTCATATAGTCTGAAGTTTGCGTGGTCTATTAGTAACACAATTATTTTGTGTTGCATTTTTGAGATGATGCATCTTTGGTTTTCTTTATTCTGCTTAGCTCTTGATGAGGAGAGACCGATTGTTGCATCTAAATGGCCACTTGCAAGCTTTTAAGATCCCAGCCACCACTCACCAAAGTAGGATGTAGAACAATGTTTTTCTGTAGTATGTTATGCCAAGTGAGCGTGATGTCCCCCATGACCGTGGTCTTGATCCCACAGGTCCAACAACTTGTTCCATCAGGGTAGTTGACTGTGCCTAAGAAGTTATTATAACTTTGCTCCCTGTTCATTCTGTCTCTATGAACATTCTTACAGCACATACAACTACATATGTAGAAATGTCTTCTGCCAACCTTATATTTGGTCATGGGTATATTCCCTTTTGCTTAGTCATACCTGATCATTCCATGCTGAGATCTTTTTAAAAATATTTATACATATTTCTGTTAGTCACTGGAGCCTTAGATCAAAGAACTGAAGATTTGTTGTTGTTGCTATTATTTTTTTCGTAGTTCTGACAGGTTTATCCTATCAGGTCGTTACATAAGTGGACTTTTGCTTAGGTGTCATTTAAACATTTGGGGATAAGTTGGAAATATTCGGAGTATATTTCAGATACATACCATGGTAACATTTTTATAAGTCACTTATATTGTGTTACTTTTTTTTTTTTTTGGTGTTCATTATAAAGTCTATTTAGCTACTTTGTATGTGATTTTTTTTTTTTCAAAAAAAGTGTAGCCGGTTTTTTTTGCACTAGTGTCTTGTGCTTAACCTTGAACATGTAGCCCTTATGTTAAAATATATAGACCTCCCAGATATTTTGAACAGTAGTTATTTTCCAATTAGAATGAAGTTTGAAAACATTTGATCAATTACTCTTTTGAAACTGTAACATTACTTACAAACATGTCTGGCAAATTTCAGTATTTAAAGAAAGTCTGCCTCATGTATTTGTTGCCATTAGCTGTAGTTATTCAAGACTCTTTGTAAGAGGTAAATATTATTGCAAAAATTCTTTTAATACCATTACCTTTTAAGTTCTTTTCCAGCTTAACATTTTATATTCCAGGATTCCTGACATAGTCAAAATGGTAAAGGTCACAGTTTTGTAGACCTGAACTTCAAAACCAAAATATATAACATATATATATTTCAAAGTGACTTTTTTTAATGATAAATGAGAAATGTAGTTAGCGGAATGAAGGTACAAATTCACTGTAATTGTGATGCTCAAATAGAAATCTTATGGACCATTTCTTAAATGTTGGAAGAATGTTGTTTATCTGTGACTCAGAATATCTCAGAGAATGGAGTAAATCAAGAAGCTGGACTCTCTCCGTTTTTGCATCGTTACTCATCGTTTTAAATAATTCATTTGGATGGGTACCAGGGAGGAGCAAAACTCCATGGATTCTATGAATTTCAAACAGTTCTGAAGATAAAAATATTTCCAAGTGTTTTAAGAGCTTTTTGAGAGTATTGTTTCATAAAGAAACTGATGACCCTTACTGATTCAGCATAGAGAGATAAGGACAATTTGAGAATGAGAGGCATGATAATAAATAGACCCAGAGTATATTCTCCCGATATGGGATTATTCAAAATAAATCTTGAAATTCTCTAATATTTCTTTTCTTTTTCTGTTAAGTTGCTATAGCGCAAGGTGGAGCAATCCAGATTTCTAACCCAGGATCTGATGGTGTTCAGGGACTACAGGCATTAACAATGACAAATTCAGGAGCTCCTCCACCAGGTGCTACAATTGTACAGTATGCAGCACAATCAGCTGATGGCACACAGCAGTTCTTTGTCCCAGGCAGCCAGGTTGTTGTTCAAGGTATATTTTATTAATCTAATACATTTAGAATTCCTATGGATTACTATATCACAACACTTAGTGGTGATTTTATAGTTTTCTGAAATACACAGGACATAGATTTTTCTTGAAGGGGGCTAAGGAGGCACTTAAAAAAGGCTTGATAGTACATTAATTTAATTTAGTACATTGAACAGCAAGTTAAAGAAATTATGTGATTTTCACTTTTTAACATATTTCCTGGCTCTAAAACTAGGATGATTGAAAGAGGGAGTTGCAAATATGAATGAATTTTTAATTGAGTATATATCCCAAATATATTTACCAAAATATGTCTTAATATTATCTTGTCTCTGGGCCCTTACTCAGTCCATGATGCATAGAATTTTTTCTTTTTTTTTACTCCAGCTGTTACACTCAGTTTTAATTTCCAGATAACACCTTTCAAAACAAATGCAGGTTTTTGTTTAGACCATTCTTATATATTTGATTTCTGAGGTACTCATTATAGTTCTTATGGAAATTGACAGTAGTAAAATACAATAGTTGGGATGTATCCCTAAGCTTTTAGGGTTACCTAAGATTTTATGACAGTAAGGAGCCCTTGTAGTGCAATGGTTAAGCACTTGACTGCTCACTGAAAGGTTGAACCCATCAGCTACTGTCCAGGAGAGTTAAGTTGATGTTTTCTGTCAGCCTTGCTAATAAGCTCTCTAATATTCTGTTGATTTTCTGTGAATCAATCTGTGATATTGTGTGATGTGACAGTCTGCTTCTGTAAAGATTGTAGCCTTGGAAACCCTATGGAGCAGTTCTACTCTGTCCTCTAGGATTGGTATGAGTTGGACTCAGTGGCAGCAGATTAAGATTTCAGTTAAATTTGAATTATACCTTATTTTAATTTCATTATGTTCTTATGGTAAAAACTAAACCCATTGCCATCAAGTCAATTCTGACTCATAATGACCCTATATGATAGAGTAGAACTGCCCCATAGGGTTTCCAAGGCTGTAACTTTACCACACAGACTGCCACATCTTTCTCCCCTACAAAGTAGCTGGTGGGTAGGTTCAAGCCATTGACCTTTCAGTTAGGAGCTGAGCACTTTCAACCACTGCTGCTACCAGGGGTCCTTCTGGTAATGGTAATAGGTGTTTTAATACAACTTTAAAAAATCGTGTGTTTTAATTGACTTCTATTCCTTGTGATCTATTTGTTTAGGACTTACGATATATTAATAATTTTAAGAAGAAGAGTAACAGTTTTTTTAGTTTGAAAGTCTTGCGTGTGTGGAAGAAAGTGGATTAAATTTGTGAATCTCTTAATAATTAGCTTTAATTCATGTATGTTGGGGGTTACTATAGAATATAATTAAAGTATATGAAGAACCCAATACTGTAATCTTTTAAGTATTTAAAAAAAAAAAAAAGCCACCTGTTATACCTCCTCCATACTCATGGATCTTGTATGTTTAAGTGCATAATATTAAAGAATACTCATTTCTTATTTTATCTTTTTTTTTAACATAGAAAACCTACAGCAAACTGGATTTAGAAGCAAAGAGTTTTTAAAGTTACTCTGTTTGACATAGATGATAGGCACATAAGGCTTGTGATTTTGGAGTTTTAGTTAAGAATTCTTTTTCTCCTACAAGTCACAAAGATATTCTACATTATCTTCTACTAGCTTTATAGTTTTGCCTTTCACATTTAGATTTTTAATCCAGCTAGGGTCCATCACTGCATATAATGTTTTTATTTTGGAGCCAATTTGCACCTTCTAATGGCTTGCCCTTTCACCAGGAATTTATGGGATAACCTTAATGGTAAATAGGTTAGCATGTATACTTGACTATGTCTCAGAAAGCTATTCTGTATCATTGGTCACTTTTCCTTTATGTTGGTGCCATACTGTTTTGTTATTTCATATAACAAATTTCTCTTCTTTGCCTTTTTTATTTTATTTTTAGTGCTGATTTAGCTATTTGCAAACCATTATTCTCTCATATGCATTTTGGAATAAGCTTGAGTTTCTAAACAAATTTTAAATAATAATAAAAATAAAACCAAAGGTGAACTTGCATTTAATTTCTGGATTAATTTAGGGAGACTGAAGTCATTACAATGTTATATATATAATGGTATAATGTTAAACTGACTGAGTCAAAAAACATAGACTGTGCATTCATTCAGATCTTTTTACTCTTTTAACAGTTTAATCTTTTTCTCCATAGTGGTCATGCATGTTCTTTGTTTAGTTAGTTCCTAAATGCTTTATGATTTTTATTGCCATTACAAATAGTACCTTTGTTTTCCATTTTTAAGTTGTTTTTTTATCAGTCTTGCTGAACTCATCTAATATTTGTTGATTTTCTGCAAGTCAATCTGTGAAACTGTGTCAATGTTTACATCACATGCAAGTAGTGATGTTATGTTTGCCTTTCAATCTTTAGGCCTCTTCCTCTTTCTTTCCTTTCCTTTTCATCTCTCTCTCTTCTATGGTGGCCCAGAGCTCCAGTCTGTGTTGAACACAGCAGGGGCAGTGAACATTCTTGTCTTGTCTTAAAGAGATTGCTTCCTTCCTATCCACCTTCCTCTCTGTTGTCACACTGAAAGGTCACATCCATTTTATTGGTGTGTTCTCAGTCCTAAACTTGATTGATTTCTTCAGAGTATTTGACATTGTTGACTCCTGCTTCCTTTATTTCCCACTTCCCCCACACTGTATTCTCTTTGTTATTCTCTCAAGTCTCTTTGTCAGTCTCCTTTGCTAGTCTGATCTCCCTCTGCCCGCTTCCTAGATATTAGCAGTGTTCCTCAGGATTGCATCATGGCCCCTCTTCCCATCTGACTAGATAAACTCTACTTGGATGACCTCATCTTCTCTCATGGTTTTAGTTAATGTGACTATGCTCTGGACTTTCACCAGCTACTTAGATGCCCCACACCTGTCTCTCTGACTGCTTAAGCCCAAAACTTAGTTCCATTTTTCCACTCCAAAAATGTCTTTTGTTTACCCATTGATGTACCACTACCTACCTATTGCTTCAAGCCAGAAACCTGGCTATCACTGTCATGTTTTACTCTCCCTACCCTTCTGTATCCAATCCACTGTGTTGATTCTTCTCCCTAGTTCAGAAATCTCCTCACTGCATCTTATCCATGTCATTATCCAAGGCCAGGCCACCATCCACTCTGACCTAGATTACTATTATCTTCCAGCTGGCTGCCCTGAAGCTGGTGGCCATGAAACAGCCTTTTGATCTTCCTAATCATACCAGAGACACTACCTTCCTTCTTGGCCAAAATTTTTGGGAATTATTTCTGGAAATTTTGCTGGAGTTTTGTTTTTTTTTTTTCAATCCTTCCCAGTGATTCTGGGAGATACTACCATTTCTTAAAAACAAAAATCTCTGCCTCCAACATTTCCCTTTCTCTGTTAAACTCTCTGTTCTTCATTTCAATGCTATTTCCAAAATGGACATCTAGTTATATCAGCCTCTTGCTCAAAACCCTCCAATGGGTATCTCTTACTACTAGACAAAGTTCAGAATCCTTATTAACATGGCCCACTTCTCTGCATGATGTAGATGCTATATGCTGGATTTCTTTCATTTATTCTGATGTGGCCACCAACTCTCTCCCCACCCCCCTCTCTCTAGGGCCTTGACATACCACTTTTTGCTCTGACAGAAACACTTGCCCGAAGCTTATGTATTATTCAGGTTCCATCTTAGATAGCACCTCCTCCAGGAAGCCTTCTCTGATCCTTCCAAATCTGGTTAGGCAGCCCCTGTAAGTTCCTATTGTACTTTAGGGCACATAGCACATTGCACTGTGACTGTCCCACAGTGGGTGGTAAGTTCTCATTGGACAAGGATCAAGATGTTTTATTTACCTTTGTTTCCCTGGTACCTAACATAGTCCCCTGGCATATGATAAATGTTTAACAAACATTTACTGAATAAAAGTAAAAACATTTACTGAATAAAAATAAAATTTTCCTGTGTGAAAATGTTGCTAGTTCCATGTTTTGGTTAACTGAGTTTAACTTGTCCAGGGAGCCTGTTAAAACTCTACTCATAGCAGAAGTCACTAAGTAACCAGCCTGCCTTCCTCCTTTCTCCTTTTTTTTGTGCTAATGTCTATTGAGCACCTAAGTACTAATGTAGAGAAATACTAAATCACTTGAGTTTTCTAAAATTTGAAAGAAATTTACTAATAGTAGTTGTGATTTATTTATGAATTTAAAAAATCACAAAATTCTTCAAGGGATTTTAACCTGATAAAATAATTTGGTAGGTTGAACCACATGAAATTGCTGTTTTGTAGGCCAAAATGACTGAATACTAGCAGTTTCATATGCTTCAATCTAACACTTATGGAAGTATGCTATAGAATATAATGCTTCATTGGTACAATGATATGATTTTTTTTTTTTTTTTAATTTCATTGTCTCAGCCCTGCTAATGAAATGAACAGTTTCTTTATCAGCATAGGATCAGCTAATTTTATAGTTGTACAGCAACTGGTTCAGCAAATAACAATGTGTTAAGTGAACGAAGGTGGCTGGGTATTTTTCACTTGGTGAATATAGACGTGTATGAAATACCTTAGTCATTTGTTGGTGATTGTCCTTTTAAAAAAATAAATAAATAAATCCCCAAAAATATAAATCTCAAAAGTTTTTTTTCTCTTGCTGTGAGTTATGAAAAATAGGAACTTTTTTTTTTTAATCCTCCTGTGTTTACCTGCTTAGAAACCGTAGACAGCAGTGATAAAGAAGTAGGTAGCCCCATTAGAAACAACCATGTTAGTCTTAATGCTAATGAGACATTTTTGGCCAGAGCCCATCTCAACAGATGACTACATAAAAATGGGAAACAAGAGCATTAAGATGGTTTATTATGAGAAGAGTTTTTATAGGGCTTTGGTTTCAGTGAGCTCTTCTGTGACAAAGCAAATTGATGGCAGTGATAGGCTAGTGATGTCACTGTGATGTCTATACTCCTACTTACCATGCACATGCTTGCTAGTTTAGAACATTTTATGTTGAACTGTGATAAGGGAACCAAGACAGTTCTGTATGCAGAAGCCCATCATGGCTGTAACTGGAGATGAAACAGGTAAGAATTTTAAAGAGCTGACTTAAATTAACTCAGCAGATTTTTTTTTTGAAGTTCTAGAAAAGATGAATTATTATCACGTCTTAGTGTTTCTGAAAGTGTTGAAAGTATGAAGTTTCTTTTAATTTATATTAAAAGGTCACTCTGCTAAGGCATCTTAGTAATTGCTGCTTTGCTCAGTTATACCGCTTACTTAAGGGAGGAATCCACCTTGCTTTCTAGTGCGTGCGCTCGATCTCTCCCCGCTTCCGCCATTCTGCTCCACTAAAATAAGCTGTTGCTTCATCTGCAACCTGTTGCAGATTCAGTTAAAGATACATACTGTTTAAGTTGATTTGGGGTGGGGGGGAAGCTTCCGATTTGATTGCGGTGTACAATTGTGGCTCCAAACAGAATAGGAAACACCAGCGGTTTGTGGATGTTTGTGTGTCTACTTTTTTCTTTTCCTCCTGTATTTAAAATGGTCTGTTCCTCCGCTAATTGAGTTCAAAGGGCTTACGTCATTACATTTCCTGGAATCGTGTTTCAGCAGGGAAGTGGAAAAGTTAAACTCCAAGCGAGCTGCACATTGACGTCAGCTCCGAGTCATGCTGTGATTTAGTCAGTTCCTTTCTGCTTTGTCAAGCGCTGACAGATTTAGAGTTAAGTAACTCATCACTGCTTCTATCTCCAAGATCGCTCTTAACCGAATAGTTTTTTCTTGTAATACTAACTTTGTTAATATTTCTCTGGAGGTAAGTAGCTGCTGACGAGGGGGAACTTTTCCTGAACCAGCATTGCTTGCCGGAGCAAGAATTCAGGCTCTGTCTGGCAAGCGTCTGGGGTAAGGTTGAACCTCCAGAAGAAGCAGTCCCTGCACGAGCCAGTGTAAGAAGTCGACTGTATATATAGCTGGAGGTTTTCGTGATTTTTTAATTGGCTGAGAACTTGTGAGTCAGAGCGCCCTCTAGTGCTCAGTCAGGGGAGTGCTTGCCTTTTAATGGTTCCTCAGCCTCTGGTATTTGAATTTGTAATCAGTGCTTTTTTATATGGTTTGGTTTTCTTACTAATTTTTTAGATAGTGATTTTGAAAGACTTAGTGACTCATGTCCTGTATGTAGCTGCAACACTGTGTATTCAGTGGTGTCTTCTTTATAACCCACTACTGAATTTGCAGTTGCATTCAGCAAAAATGCATGATTATGAACAGCTGATCACAATTAAAGCTCTTCAAAGTTAGTGGGTTTCCCTCCCTTCGTCCCTTCCTCAGTAGTAACATTCGATTGTCTTGAGTATTTAAATGCAACACTGCAAGCAAGTAAAATTTGTATTAATTTTTTTTAATTGTCTTGAGGAGCTGTTGTTTTTCTCAAGAATTTTTGTGAAGTTATTAAGATGCTATAGATTTGCAGAAGCTCTCAGTTTACAAATTCATTATAAGATATAGATGAACTTAATCTAAAATACTGTGTGTCTTACGATTCTTAGAACAAAAAGGCATCTTTGTGCACGTATTTATTTTCTAAACATTATTAGTAAGTTTATATCTTTCTTTACTAAACCTTTAATTCCCATTCACCATCTGACTTGTCTAAGCATGAGAGAGAATCATGACCAAAAGTAAAATAAAATTACTTAAAAATACCCTGATAATGTCTACAAATGAAACTTTTAAGGTAAAAATTTGCATAAAATCTTTACCACTGCTTGTAAATAAATGAACTTTTTAAATATATTGTATGTTTATAGAATGAACAGGCCATCAGTGAAAAGACATATTTTTTTTCTCCCCAGGATCAGTTTATCAATAATGCTTGTATGTAATTTGCCCTTTCTAATTTTAAATTTTCAGAATGCTAAAACTAAAATTACTATTTTAAATCTAGTCAGTTCTCACAGAATCAATGCTTTTTGAAAATGAAAAATGTTATTTCCTTGTTTTTGGTGGGTTTTTTTTTTAGGAACCAAAAGAGCATAGGATTCAAGTTGCTGTTTTTTTTTTTTAATGGTGTAGTGGAACAGCTTTAGAACCCAAGCCTTGGATGCTCAGTTCTGAGCTAACCATATGGACTCACCTAGATTAGTGGCTTGCACTTTTTCACCATGGCAGTAGACTTGTGTATGTGTGTGTACCCCGTATTTAGTATATATAAAACAAACATGTTTCAAAAATAATACATATCCTTACTGTATACATTCATCTTTTTCTTTTTTCCTATTTTTGACCCTTGAGATAGGTTTTATGGCCCACTAATTATCTACAACTTACAGCTTGAAAAACTCTGATCTAGACCAAAATCAGGCTTCTAACAAAAATGATGCATTTACCTGTAGGGTCGTGGAATCTAGTATAAAAAGTGACTATCTATACTGAGTGAAATAAGTCAATCACAGAAGGAAAAATACTGTATTAGTTCATTATTGTAAAAAGTCATGGAAAGGTTTATATATGAAAGGAAACTTTGTTGGTTACCAGGGGTGGGAGTGGAGGGGAGGGAACACTGCACAAATAAATAATAATAATAAAAAGTGAGTATCTATAGTTTATAGGATTATACTATTAATTCTGTTGAGTACAGTTTAAGTTTTTATTAAAAATAGTTCTTGGCTTCATTCATAGGCTGATTAGTTCAGATCAAGTTATAATGACTTCTTGAAGCTACTAGCAAAGCACATTAATTATAATCATATTGGACAAGAAAATCAATCACTTGCATCTCAGTAAAACTTCAGATTTAATGGAAAGTTTACTGAAATTGCATTATGCTGTTTTCCTACCATTTTTGAAAAAAATTTAAATGAAATATAATTTGGGATAAATGTTTTTACTTGGCCCTGTTTCATTTGTCTATGATGATATATTGCTTAGCAAAATAATTATGATGATATTTTGCATTTATATACAACTTTAAATTGAAAATAAAAACGACTTAATGTTCAAATAAGCATATGAAAACAAATTGTGGTAAGTGCTAGCAGGGAAACTAATGGGAAGGGATCAGTAAGAGACCAATAGGAAGCAAGTAATAAAGGGTCAAGGACCTGGGTAGGCCACTCTGAAGACACCATATTTAAATATGAAAAAGGAGAACTTTCCACGTATTCTCATTGACACACACAGGGCAAAAGTTATTATACTTATTTTACATATAACTGAACACTGATCAGTGTGGTAAATGACTCTTCCGAGCTTACAAAGCTAGCAAGGGGTGGACCAGTTTGGGTCTTCAGACCCCTTGTCAAGTTCTGTTCACTCACACTGTATCACATTCTCAGATTTCACATGGCATTGATAAATTAATGCTAATATAACATGAATTACAATAGCATGCTACACACCACTGATAAAATACATAAAATAAAGTTAGCATTTTAATCAAAATGGATTTTTTTTCTAGAATATTCATCATTACTCTCATAGGACAATTAAAAAAAAAACAACCTCACTGCCATTGAGTTGATTCTGACTCATAGCGACCCCCTTTGGATTTTCAAGGCGGTAAAATCTTTACGGAAGTAGATTGCCCAGTCTTCCTTCCGTGGAGTGGTTGGTAGGTTTGAACCCCTAGCCTTCTGTTAGCAGTCAAATGCCTTAGGCACTATGCCACCAGAGCTCCTTTCATAGGACAGTAGTGCATATAAATGTTCATTTAACATTAATTCAGTTTCAGTAGTCATAATTTCTCATCTTTTTACACAGAATTTTTGACTTTTAAGATTTTCACTTAAATAACTCAGGTCATAACTTACAAATATTTAACAGTTCAATTCTATGCAATCTATTTGTTATAGTAGTCGAAATTTGAAAAATATCAGTGTGTAAGTGCTAAGTCAGTGCTTAACTACATATTTTTATATGGGATTTCATTTTCAAGGAGAAAATGGAACAGTAAAGAAGGGAACATTTTTGAAAGTATGGGACACCTGAAAGGACAAGTCTGATTTGGGTCTTAATGTGTTGCTGTGTAGTAAGGAGGAAAATAACAAAAAACAAAAATGGAGTCAGTAGTTTATTATTGGAGCCTAGGGAGTTATATTTATTGCATATAAATATAACTGCTGGGTTATCTCTGTTGCTTACTTAAGTGCATTTAGGATTAGTGGCACATTTTGAAATGCCATATGAAGACAGGAACTTATATATAAAAATATTTGTATTCAGTTAATGTGCTCAATAGTATAGAGCTCTCAATAAATAATCAAAATCACCATCATTGGGGTATTGATAACTTGTTTCACTTTGGTATTTACCAAGATAGGCATTTGGTTAGTTTTATTGTTTCTTTGTTTGTTTCCTACTTTTTGACTTGTGAGGTTTTTAGTTTTCTTATTACCATTCTAATAAGATTGTATCATTTGGTGATTCTCTACCTTCAAGGTTCTATTTTAAATGATTATATATACATTGAAAAGAATATTTTATCTTATAATAATTTAAACTCTCAAGCAATATAACAAAACAGAAACTTTAAAAGTTTCTTAATAGTCATATCTTTAAACAAAATAAGCATTAAGAGAGAAACATTTCAATCATTCTATTTCCCATGTTTGTTAGAAGAGAAACTCCAACGGAAAAATATATTAATGGATGTTATATACCTTTTAACTAACTAATATACAATATAAGCATAATTTGAAACATTGTCTTTCAGAACTTAAGGAAGGGAAGAGGAAGGGAACTAACATTTGCTGAATGCCTACCATGTATGTGCCAGGCACTGTGCTAGACACTTTGACATACATTACAGGGTTTATTGTGAGTATTAAATGAGATAATGTATCCCCATTTTACAGATGAGGAAACTGAACTTGCCCCAAGTCACATGGCTGGTAAGTGGCAGAGCTGAACTAGAACCCAGACTCCAAATCCCATGCTTTTTCTGCTGTACCGTGTTTAAAGCTTGCAAAGAGAGGTATGAAGTAATGACCAGAATTGAGAGTTCTGGAAATTTTCCTTTCCCATGAAGTATTTGATGCTAAACCTGAAAAAAAAAATTTTTTTTAACGTCAAGACTTAGGGTTGAAAACATTATAATTAGAACTCCTCTGCTTCTACAATGAATGCCAGATTACATGACTAGTATCCAAATGGAGATTTCTCAAGAAAGGTCAGTTTGAATAATCATATCACATCTTGTAGGGCTTTCTATGTCTTAATGTTAAAGACTTTAAAACATAGCAAAAATAAGTCTCTAAGAAAGACTGCTTATTTTGTTCATATAAACATTTCAGATGACCATGGGCTTATGCAAAACTCTAGCTAAAGTTCAAGATTTACTTGGCAGTGTACACATAAACTCACCAGGCACTCATTATATGCCAAGTACTATGTTAGATGCTAGAGGATACTAAGGTGAAAAATACACTGTCCCTGACTTACAAAGTTTTTCCTTGCCTGAGGAGAAAAATAGTGTATATGTCTTTTTCTTACTCTCTTTCTTCAGTCATAATTTTTAAGTCCCCAATGATGAGCCATTTATTTTTAGAGATAGATTGTACAGTAAAATTGTAGAATAAAAAGTAAATGGGGACGCTTGTAGTGGTTAGATGGAACAAGAATTGGCCTTTATGCAAGTATAGGATAAGAATGTCATCGAAGAATGTAGGCTGGGTCTTTGAACTAGGAGCCATAGGTACCTGATCTGCTTTAAATTACCACTTAATCTATAATAGGGGAAACTAAAGTTAATGCAGATAAAAACTTTAGTATAACTTGTTTAAATAATAAAACTTTTCAACACTTGGATTTCCTCAAAATAAGAGGTTCTCTTTGCCCTTATCTTTTTTTATGAACTTTACTAATAACCTCATATTTGAATATATGGACTGATACTTACTCAGTGACCATTAGAAGTATATCATCATATACATCCTTTGGGATATTACAGAAATTTATGTTAATTCATCCTACTTCATACTAGCTTACACTAATTTATACCACTACCTATTCTGGCTGGAGCTAATGAACTGTTATCTCTGGTTTTTATTGAAGGAAATAAAATGAATGTATGCTATGTCTGGAAAACAGTGAAGAGAAAAGAAAAAGTTAGCTAAAAGTTTTTTAGCTAACATTTCTAGAACTAATACATCCAAATGTAGCATTCCCTCCCAAGTTACCATTTTAAAGTGATATTTTTTTTCCAAGCCATTGCTCAAACTGTTTAAAGAATGCTTACTTTGGAATGGCTGTGGCACATTCTTTTTATTATCCTCTATGGCACCAAATTTGGTCCTTGAGGGTAGTTTTGGTTTTTGGAAGTAGGCAAAAGTTGTTTAGAACCATTTCTAGTAAATATTAGACCAGTGAATGAACTTTATTCCCCTCTTTGTCTCCTGCCTCCAGTAGACACGCATAAAACTATCTTGTGCATCATGTAAGCACTCTGCTCTAACATTACATTACAGAAAATAGCAAACACACAAAAAACTAGAGAGAAGAGTATAATGACCCCCTCTGTACCTTTCTATTAATTTTATTCTTCTTCTTTGTAAGCCATGTTTTGAATGGAAAGAACAAACCCTAGACCCAAGTCTGCATCCATGCTGCCTGCAAATGTCAACGCAGTGACATGTCCAATTCTCATTCATCACTGGCTGTTATTCCAAATTTAGAAGCCTAGTAGCCTCCAGTTCTGTTGTTTCATCCTTTATTATATCCCATAACCATCTTCCCTAGATGTGAGTAAAGAGAAAAGTGGGGAGAATTGTATTATTCTATGTTCCACTTAATCTCCAATGACAATATGATTAAGATACTCAAAAAGTAACCAACTATTAGTAAGTTAACAGTTTATAACTGGTTTTGAAATTATTTCAGAACTATGCAATATGAAACATCTGTATCTACAGTCACAAAAATACAGTTAGGACTTTATCCAAGTGCACTAATTAAGATTTTATGGTGATCACTATCTATTACTATTTGTCACCATTGTTTTTTTTAATTGTATATAGAAGGAAGAGGAAATGTAATCTTATAATGGTATTTTTATTAATCTTATGAGGACCCTCCTTTAAATGATCTTTTTGCCAAGCCATTTTTTTTTCCACCTAATTTTTGAGCCTGAGGGAAAAAAGACTAGCATATGCCAAGTAGAGCATATAGATTAGCTCATTTCTGTTTTAACTTTTTAAAACTACTTGGTTGTTTTCAGTGATTTAGGTGAAAATGATTTTTTTTCTTCCATTTGGGTAAAATTTCAGTTTTACTCATCGAGTATAATATATTTTAATGAAATAAAGAAATACTGAATTTCCTATTTTGATTGGCATTTGGTTCAGACCAGTTTTTATAGGATTTAATTATTCTTACATTTAGCTTTGAGAGAGCATATATTTGTAGTATCTCATCATAGTGTCAAATTTAACTCTGGACCATACGTTCTCAAAGTTGAAGTGTTGGCGATAGAAACATGTTTCATTACTCAAATCCATCTGTCTCTTCTAGGAAGCTATGTTTATTGCAGTAGATATGCCAGTTTTGAATATAACTTAAGAAACTTTGAGGGCTTACTATAAGTATTCAATCTGAATACTAAGTAAATATTAAATGTCTTTTAGCTGCATGATTATACTATTATTAGAAATTTTTTTTTAAATGAACACTTGGAAATGTGTTATTATCCCAAGAAACCTAAGGCAAACAAAAATCATCTTCCTCAGAGAAACCAGCTTTAAGTAGAACTTTGGTGTTTGTTTATTTAATTTTTTTAAACTGAAAATCTAGTGAGCTAGATTCTTCTCTAATACTTTAGTCATTTTCTGGTAATGGATTTGCGCTTTAAGAGATTCAGTAACTGCTTCAGGCTACGGGAAAATCTCTTTACTGGACTATTCCAAGAATGGAAACCTTCTGCTTACTTAACAAGTTTTTCCTATGGTGTGTGATAGCCAGCTCCTACTGGCTTGCTAAAGCCGATTATTAAATTTTTAGGATCTTTGTGAGCTGGCTGTTAAAACAGCCATTATTAAAAATTAAATATATCTACTTAACAGATAAATTAGAAACCACATTAATAAATATACAGAACTCATTATTTCTAATTATTTTATCTGTGGCTTGATGTTATTCACATATTTTATGTGTGGTGTCCTCCTTACTGCACATGTCTTCGCAGCTGGACAGTCAGTGATGCCACATCAATAGCTTGAAACTGGCCATGATGTAAGTATTTACATCATTAGATTTGGCAAATGCTACAGAGCAGGGGCTTCTTCCTCCCAGAGAGCTGTTGTTAAACTTTGATCATCATACCACTGTTAGGTGAAATGAACTTTCAGTTGAAAATCCTCTCTACTTTAGCCTTTGCTAAAAGCCACAATGCATTAGGACATGTGTCTCTCTTAAATGTGTATGGCATGCTAAATGTCATTGTTCCCAAAGCTGAAGAAGATCTTTAATACCTAAGATTCCTATAATGCCTTAGCATGTTCATCTTAAACATGAGCAAGATCACCTCTTATGACAAGTTAAGAGAAGTATGTTATTTCCAGGTCAATTTTATTTAAAATATCAAATTGTGGATTATTTATATATACTTGTAATATTGTGTTTCATTACAGCCGCCACTGGTGACATGCCAACTTACCAGATCCGAGCTCCTACTACTGCTTTGCCACAGGGAGTGGTGATGGCTGCCTCACCAGGAAGTTTGCACAGTCCCCAGCAGCTAGCCGAAGAAGCAACACGCAAACGGGAGCTGAGGCTAATGAAAAATAGGTAAGCTGTTTCACTCGACATTGGTAACCTATTTATAGCACACATACTTTATTACTGTGGTGCTTTAAAAATATTTGGCTTTTTCTAGCCTATTTCTTCCAAGCTAAGTGTTAAGCATGATGGTAATCAGATTGGCTTCTAATCAGAGTTCTTAGCCATTTAACTCTTTTCCTTCATTAGCAGAAATACATTCCTATTTTTTGTAAGGATAATGTCCAATAGTGCCATTTTTTTTAAATGATGATAGAAGGACTTTATTATAAATAAAAATTTATTTTGTATTTAGTATTTATTTTTATTTTTTTGTTGTGTTTTGGGTGAAGGTTTACAGAGCAAATTCATTTTCCATTCAATAGTTCATACACATTCTGTTTCATGATACTGAGTGCATTCACCACAGTGTAACAGCTCTCTTCCCACTTCCTCTCTGTGGTTTCCTTTTCCCTGTGTACTTCTTTTAGTATTTATTTTGTAGTAAGTGATAAATATGTGTTTTACTTCTTTATGCACAAAATAAATTTAAGTGTGAGTTAAGTACTTCAAAGTTTTTACATATAGTTTCCTTTTATCTATTTTGAAACTTTGTTTTTCCACTATTATACTGAAATACATATTTATTCTGGTAAATTTTAGTAAAAATGCAGATACAAAAAAAATTAAAATGATGCACAGCCCCCCCACCTAGAGATAACTGCTAATAACTATAGTGTGTGTGCTTCCAATCTGTTCTCTCTCTTATTTTCTCTCACTCTTTCTTGCTCCACATCTATGTAATTTTATTTTTTAAACAGTATATTTAAAAATATGCTGTTTTTCAAAATTCTTTTTTTTTTTTTTAACTTTCATATTATTTCTTGGTTTAGTTTTTATTTTGGAGAATAGTACAAATCTTATTTTCAAAATGAACAGAATTGGTATGAGTTTTACCAGCAGTCTTACTACCTTATTTCCAAATGTTAAATAATTTCATTGCAAGAAAATTAAAAATTTCAGATGGGATTTTGTGCATGCCTGTAATCATGACCACCTGGTGGCAGTTAATTTTCTAGGTGTTAGCAACCTAGTTAATCAAGAAATTGTGGCCTCTGAGCCCCTAAAACTCAGAAATGAATGCTCATTTCATTACTGTCTTTTGGAACTGAGTGTGAACCAGAAGTAGCTTTATTCACTTTACTAATTAATGGCATCTTAAATGTCACAATTTGATATATTATTAAAAAAAAAAACAAACAAACTCACTACCATCGAGTCGATTCTGACTTAACTGCAACCCCCATTGGGTTTCCAAGGTGGTGAATGAATCTTTGCAGAAGTAGATTGCCCCAACATCCTGCTCCTATGGAGCAGCTGGTGGGTTTGAACCATCAGCCTTCTGGTTAGCAGTCAGATGCTTCAGGCACTTCACCAAAAGAGCTCCTTTGATATATTATAGGCATTCTTAACTTGACTGTCATATCTAAGCTTATTAGGTATCACCAATCTATTGATGGAATTTTGTACCCTGGACACCAGAAAAAGGATTATTAAGATACACGTATCTTTACCAGTGGTTGTTCTAAGTTGTGCTAGATTCATATTTTTCATCCCCAGTATTGTGCTCAGAAATCCTGAAAGACTGAATGGGTGGGCCTCACACAGTATCCTAGTTGTTTTATGCATATCTTGATACCAAAATTTGATCAGAAGGAGGAATATGGATACTGTAAAGCTGCACTTTCAGTGATCTCCGGAGCTCTGAGTATACTTGTCTCTGTGGTCATAGAAGGTACATTGTGAAGTTCAGTTTAGAAATATAAAGTACAGTGCACTCTATAGTGAAAACTATAAAATTGTTTATTGATGTCTTATTTTCCCAAAGAAAAATGAGAAGGAAGAACTTGGAAGTAGCGTTCTTAATTCTCGTTTGTTATTATTCTCTACTTTTATTTTCAAGTTTCAAAATTTTGTCAGTAGCACTACTAAAATGAAATAGACAAAAGGAAGTATAAGGCAGTGGGTTCCTGTAAAGTAGCCACACAACTGTCTCACATACATATGAGACCTTTTTGAGATAGATAGATAAATAAATAAAATTTGGGGGCTTTAAAAAATAATCAACTACTAATAATTTAATGAATAGCAATTTTGTTTTAGCTACAAATAACCAAAAGCCTGGAAAGTACAGGATGAAAGGTGTTTTAAACTTGTGGGTGCTTTTTTGGTCATAGCATGTCCAGCAGTAGGTACAGCCAGAACAGACATTCAGTTATGTGATCAAGGATCCAGGCTGCCCCTTCCTGCTCTGTTGTCTGCAGCATGTGCCATTCATGCCTTTAATCACAACATGGCTGCCACATCTCCAGACATTGTAGCAGGCAGGAAGAAGTGTAAAAGACTAGAGCTAAAAGTTGTCACTGACTTAATTTGGCTTTCTGAAAACCTTTCCTAGAGCCACCTAGCACCTTTCACCTACATTTCAATGGCTAGAACTGGTCTTTAGTCCTTAGGGATTCTGAGAAAGTATATTTTGCTTTTCCAATTTCGATTTTGGAATAAGATAAAAGTTGACTGTAGATAGCTATTAGGTTGCTCAATATCTGTTGAGTAATGACCATATGCAACTTTCGAGTGCTTTATTTCTACCATGTTCTTAACCCTCACATTAGAATAGGACCTGTTATTAGCCTCACTGTACAGATAAAGGAGCTGTGGTGGCTCAGTGCCTAAGGCATTTGACTGCTAACCAGAAGGGTGGCAGTTCAAACACACCAGCCAGCCACTCTGCAGAAGGAAGACTGGGCAATCTACTTCTATAAAGATTTACCACCTCGGAAACCCAGAGGGGGTCGTTATGACTCTGAATTGACTCAATGGAAGTCAGTTTTTCTTTTTTGGTACAGATAAGGAACTGAGGTTTAGAGAGTTTAAAGAATAAGTTGCTTAACATCACACAGCCCAAACTGGACAGAGCCAGGATATGCAATCAAGCAGTCTTTATTTCAGAACCTGGCTACCACACTACACTAAGGTCACCTTAAAACAGGTTTTCATGTAAGTTTCAGATCTAACTTCATGCAAGTGTTTGATTTTACTTATTAATGCAAAGAGCCTCTTATACACTGCCCTCTCTTCTTATTCATCAGCTAGCATTTACAATAGATATTTAATCATATTCCTACCAATCCAGTGACAGTTTTTCTTTCTTTACAGCCTTCTCCACTTTTCTTCTTTGCCAGGTATTTTCTTTCCATGCTGAGAATATATCCAGACAAACGCTAGGCCTGAAAATTGAGCTAACTATTAATAGAAGAAACAGGTGTTTTCCATAGCTGAGCATTATTTAGCAATGTACCATCTAGTGGTATGATCATTTAAAACTTTGTGCTTATATTTTGACCCTGGTAACATGTACACACACACACACACACACAAATGTGTAAAATAAGATTTATGGATATTTACAATGAACAGCTGGGTATATACATTTAAAGAATTAAATACCCACACTACACTGTTATTAGGTGTTTAAAACTTCATTTAATGGTAACTTGTTTTGCAAAATGACTATCTTCCTCTTGTATCTAGAATTTATAGTAATGATGATTAATCAAGAAACCTTGATATTTGTAAATGAATTTTAATTCCTTTGTAGAAGAGAATTTATTATCTTCCCAAAGTGGCAAATTATAAATGTTCTTGGATTTATTCTTAATTTTCCCCTGTGCGAGATGTAGATTAATCAGTATTTTTAATTAGGTTCAATTATTTACTTTTACATTTTTACTTATTTTTTGTTAGTTGAAAAGTCTGAAAACTTTGTGAGTTCACAGGGTAAATGCATTGTTCTTGGCTAGGAAGTGTAGGAGTTGATCTTTTCCTGCAGTTCATTGGGATTTCAAGGTCTCTTCTGCTGACTCTTGCTTCCCGTAGAGTCCCCACTATCCTATAAATAAAAGAATTGGCCAAATCTGTTGTATGTATCACACTTGGTTCAGGATCGCAGCAGTGCTAAGTGGCATTGTAGTAACTGGTTACTGTAGACGATCAATAATATTTTAGTTAAAGTATATTTGAATTATAATATCTGTTTCAAAGTGAGCTTTTTTGGTGGATTTAGCTAGTGAGTAATACCAGTGCACCCCCAAAGAAACTTACTCTCAGATTAAATACTTCAAAATAAAGCTGTTATCAGAGGATTCATTATATAGAGTAGTTAAATAAAGTAGTTTCCAGTCCTGCCCCCCCACAAAAGGAGCAAGAGATAATGTTGGTTATATTCATTGTTTTTTTTTTTTGCTGTGGTTATGCATGAAAATTAACGGACTCAACTCATCCATTGATTTGTGTCTGTTGCTTTGGCTACTGCTTCATATATTTTGAATGTGCTTACAGTGCTTTAAAATTCAATGTGTTGGATATCAAATGCATGTGATAAGAGAACAATGTTGAAATATGCTTTTGAGTTATTCAGTAACTTCCTTTTCATTATTTTAACTACAGTGTTTCCACATTCCTGGGTTTAAATTGTCTGAACTTTGTGTTGTATTGTGTGTGTGTCTGCCTTCTTTTTCCTTCTATGATTCAGAACCAGTATCCATTTCATTTTGGCTTATGAAAATTTGTACTTTTTGTTGCTTATTATATTTATACATGTTGTATTTTCTACCTAGTAAACTGTTTCTTGTAGTCATGATCAATCTTGTTTTACTGAGATTTAGTCTGAAGACTAAAAATCTCCAATTTTGATATTCAAGCTTTCTGCGGATTAAGTCTTCTAATCATTTTTTCCACAAATAAAGTTGTACTCACTGTAATGGAATATATGGCTTTTGGTAGACAAAAATAGAGAATTGAAAGGATCTGTAAGTGTTTTTAGGGACATTTTATATGGGGATAAGGTCCTGTTGTTTTGGATTGCAGAAAACAATGCATTGATCTGGGCACTGTTATCATGGAACATGTGCCCTAGGAAGACACCATTTGAGATGAATTCTGGGCAGACTGTGCTCTAAAGTTGTTCCTGTTGTCTTACAAAAAGGCATATGCTTGGTTACATTTGTTGAATGGTTTTGTACAAACCTCACCTACGACTGATTGGCTGTTGAGTTTGGGAGGGCAGAAGTTCATTGAGCCACTCTGGATTGTGTTGGGCAGTGTTCCTGTAGTCATTTGCCTTGTGTTGGTTCCAGGGAAGCTGCCCGGGAGTGTCGCAGGAAGAAGAAAGAATATGTCAAATGTCTTGAAAATCGTGTGGCTGTGCTTGAAAACCAAAACAAGACTCTCATTGAGGAACTCAAGGCCCTCAAAGACCTTTATTGCCATAAAGCAGAGTAACTGTCTTTGGCTTGAACCTTATTTACTATGAACTCTAATCAAGGCAGGAGATGCAGTAATTCTACTAATTGCCATGTGGACTTGTGGAAGGGACACTGGTGACCCTTAAGAATCCATTTTGACTTAGTGTTTGGAATTGAATTGGGAATGTTGTTCCAAGATTTGGAACACGACCGTGATCACATTTACCACGCTTACTTCAGTCTGTCTGTCAATAGCATGCACAAAATGTTTTGTTTGCCCTTTTGCTTCTACTTTTTTCAGGGAAGCTGCGAAAGAATGTCGACGTCGAAAGAAAGAATATGTAAAATGTCTGGAGAGTCGAGTTGCAGTGCTGGAAGTTCAGAATAAGAAGCTTATAGAGGAACTTGAAACCCTGAAAGACATTTGCTCTCCCAAAACAGATTAGTAGAACTATTTAACTATGAACTGATTACAACATGTACAGTTGCTTTTGAAGGCAATACATGAATTATATAGCCGGCAAGAATAATGGCTTTTTTTCCTTTGTATCATTCATCTTATTCTCTAATCTCTAACATTCCTAAAATGCTTCACTGTACTTAGTTGACTTTTACCTGTAACTTCAATTTTTTCAAAGGAGACAAACTATTAAAAAAAAAAGTATGTAACAAATTCTTAAAATGCACTATTTATAAGACTTGTTCCAAAGCCACACATTTGTAGTTTCCAATCTCTGTGTTATGAATAGTGTCCTATGTAATAAAATTATTTGCAGGTCTTTAAAAGTCATTTTAGGGAAGGATGATAAGATAATGCATTCAGCAGTACAATAAAAGTAAAACACACATACACCCACACACAAAATACCTCAGGAAAGAATTAAAAGACAGTATATCTAATGACATGCCTATATGAGAATAATAGCCTAAAAATAAATTCATGATGTTTGCAGATTTTTATATTAGTTACTCTGTAAAGAAAATACTGTATTGCTATCTTTGAATGCCATAGTTGAAGAGAGTTTTTAATAGAACCATGTTGGTTGCACTTTGTAGTGTTTGGTGCTCATTTAACTATCTGAACATTGACTACAGTTTTTACTCTATTGTGTAATATAAAAGGTCTTTCAGAAGTTCTTAGTGTTGGTTTGATATTACCTTATGAAAGTTATACTAACTTTTTAATAGCTGGGGTGAATCCAAAGATTACTGTATTTACATAACTTTAGGGATAAGAACCAGTTCCTATACTAGGTCATGATCTTTGCCAGTGCTGTTTCTGCCATCTCACCAGACGTCCGGCACCAGAGCCTGTCACATGGAAGAGAAGAACTATGATTAGAGATGCAGCTGTGTGTTAAGGACTAGGCCTTTCTACAGATGGTCTGGAGAGCTCCTGCTGATGGTCCTTTGTTTTGAGTTTTAGCTAACAACTGCAGGAGTTTTAAAGAAAAAACAAAACAACCCAAGATTTCATTTTTCATTTCCAAACAGCTTGAAGTCCACTTTAGATTAAATGTTCTTGTGTCAGCACATTCAGAGAAGTCCATTACATCAAGACAGAGGTATTGCTGCTGCTATCCACATTTCATCTTGTTTTGATCCTAATGAGAAACTACAAGGTACAAGCCCAAAGCCCTATCCATATGATGCTGTGTTATCTGTTACTCATGAAGCATTTATTGAATGCCTACTTTGTGATAGATCCTGCTGTATTTTCTACTGTAGCTAGTGATTTGTTAAGGATGTCCCCCAGCCTACCAATCTCAATAGTGGAATTAGTTAACATCTTATAACCCCTTGCTCCTGAGTCAGTTTCAGCTCTTAGTGACCCTATAGGTCAGTGTAGAACTGTCCCATAGGGCTTCCAAGGTTGTATCTTTACAGAAGCAAACTATCACATCTTTCTTCCACAGAGAGTGGCTGATGTGTTCAAACCACCAAACTTGCAGTTAATAGCTGAATGCTTAACCACTGTGCCATCAGGGCTGCTTAATGTGTTAAACAAAACAAAACAAAACAAAAAACAAAACCTGTTGCCATAGAGTTGATTCCAACTTATAGAGAGACCCTATGGGGGCAGAGTGTAACTGCTAATACAGTTTCCAAGGCTGTAAATCTTTACGGAAATTGACTGTCTCATCTTTTTCCCACAGAATGGCTGGTGAATTTGAACTGCCAACCTTTTGGTTAGCAGTCAAATACTTAACCACTGTTCCACCAGAACTCCTTAATGTGTTTTGTTGTTGTTGTTGTTGTGTGCCATAAGGAAGTATAAATACAGGAACTATTGCATCCAACTGCTGTTTCCCCCTATTGTCAGTTCTTTGACTTATCTGTTACTCCCATTAGGTAGGATGTGCCACTTTTGCTGCCTTTAGAAATACTCATCCCTGGGTCTGAGTTCTGAATTTCTTTTATCTTACTTTTTGTCTTTTTCTCTACAGAGAAGCAAGATGAGGAAGGAAGACAAAGATGAAAAAGAGGAAAGGAAAAGCCCAAGTTCCAGGTGAAGGAAAACAGTACTTTGAATTCATTCATTCATTTGTTCAGTCAGTGTAAATTAAGTGCCTATTGTGTGCTCAGAGTTGTAGTCACTGACAAGGAGATACAGGAATCAGCAGAGCAGATGGAAAAAAATAGAGGCAGTAAACACTAACTGCTAGCATTAGAAAAAGATGTAGGCAGGGATTAATATAAGAAACTGTTTTTGTGGGAGGTAGATTTTGATCTGGGCCTTGAAGTGATTGGTAGTTCTGGGAAGATGATATTCCACACAGAGATTATGGAACATGCTCTCAAGGAGTATGAATTTGTAGGAGAGATAAAGTTTGTGATCATACAGGAGTTAGTTTAAGGACTAAGTTATAGATAAGTGGTTGTCAGTTTGAATCCACCAGCCACTCTGGGAGAAAGACGAGGCAGTCAGCTTCCATAAAGATTGAATAAAATGGGGGTCCTGTGAGCAAGGAAGAATGTTATGTAGGCAGCTCACAATGTCTGCCACCAGAATGATGAGCAAGTATATAAACTCTCCAGGAAGCTAGCAACAGTTTGTGAGAGAGTTAGGGCTTGAGGCAACCTTTCAAATGTGTTCCAGTAACCACTTACCATTGAGTTGATTCTGACTCTGTTCCATTAGGGTTTTAAGTGGCTGACTTTTCAAACCGATTGCCAGGCCTTTCTTCTGAGGCACTTCTGGGTAGACTCTAACCACCACCCTCTCTATTAGCAGGTAAGCACATTAACTGTTTGTACCACCCTTTTTGCACCAGTCTGGGACTCCTAAATATGCATTGTTGTTGTTGTTGTTAGGTGCCATTGAGTAGGCTCTGACTCATAGTAACCCTATACACAACAGAACAAACACTGCCTGGTCCTGTGCCAGCCTCACAATCCCTGCTCTACCCATTGTTGCAGCCACTGTGTCAGTCCATCTTGTTGAGAGCCTTCCCCTTTTTCGCTGATCCTCCACTTGACCATGCATGATATCCTTCTCCAGAGAATGGTCCCTTCTGATGACATGACTAAAGTAGGTGAGATGAAGTCTGGCAATTCTCCCTTCCAAGGAGCATTCCAGCTATACTTTTTCCAGGACAGATTTGTTCATTCTTCTGGCAGTCCATGGTACTTTCAGTATTCTTCACCAACACCACAACTCAAAAGCATCAACTCTTCTTCAATCTTCCTTATTCATTGTCCAGCTTTCACATGCATATGAGGCAATTGAAAATACCTTGGCTTGGGTTAGGTGCACCACAGTCTTCAATGAGACAACTTTGCTCTTTAGCACTTGAAAGAGGTCTTTTACAGTAGATTTGCCCAGTGCAATACTATGTCTGATTTCTTGACTGCTGCTTCCATTGGTGTTGATTGTGGAACTAAGTAACATGAATTCTTTGACACTTCAATCTTTTCTCTGTTTATGATGCTGCTGCTTATTGGTTCAGTTGTGAGGATTTTCGTTTTCTTTATATTGAGGTGTAATCCATACTGAAGGCTATAGTCCCTGATCTTCACTAGTAAGTGCTTCAAGTCATCTTCACTTTCAGGAAGCAAGATTGTATTGTCTGCATATCACAGGTTGTTAATGAGCCTTCCTCCAATCCCAATGCCACGTTCTTCTTCATATAGTCCAGCTTCTCAGATTATTTGCTCAGCATACAAATTGAATAAGTACAGTGAAAAGATATAACCCTGATGCACTCTGTTCCTGATCTTAAACCATGCAGTATCCCCTTGTTCTGTTTGAATAACAGCCTTCTGGTCTATGTACAGTTTCCTCATGAGCACAATTAAATGTTCTGAAATTCCCATTCTCCTCAATATTATCCATAATTTGTTATGATCCACACTATCAAATGCTTTTGCATAGTCAGTAAAACACAAACATCTTTCTAGTGTTCTTTGCTTTGAGCCAAGATCCATCTGACATCAGCAATGATATCCCTCATTTTACGTCCCTTTCTGAATCCAGCTTGCATTCCAAATATGCATAGGGACTCATTTTTCATTGAATTTGCCCTTGGAACCTAAGCTTTTACTACCAAATAGCATGGATAGTGTCTATTCAGTGTTTCAGCAGATACTGACTGTAAGCCCATACTGAACAGAGGAGAACAATAAATTGGAAGCTTTACATGAACACTGTACTTTCTCTACATCAATGTCGCATAAAACCCAGAGCTGTCACTGTATCTTTTTTTTTTTTTTTTTGCTAAAATTTTCAGAATTTGGACTGTTGGATGTAGAGATTACTGATCTTAGATCATGGGATTATACTGGTGGCATAGTGGATAAGGCATTTGGCTGCTAACCAAGTCAGTGGTTCATACCCACCATCCACTCCACAGAAGGAAGATGGGGAAATCTACTTCTGTAAAGATTTACAGCCTCGGAAATCCAGTGGTGGTTACTGTAAATCAGAATCAGCATGTACAGACACACACACACATGTGCATGCACGCACACACTTTGCCTTCTGTACTTTGTTTTAATCAGGTATTCACCTTCTTCTGTGGGCAGTAACTTAATGGCAAGATTTGGAATTAAAGATGAAACTCTGCCCCTCATCTACTATAGGAATTTCTTTGGGTCTTTTGTGCAGACACCAGTCAAAATCTGAATAATTTTTAACCTAAATGATTTTTCCTTCCTCGCTCCCTGTCCT